CACTAACAGAATCGGAGCGGCGTGCCCATGCACAGCTGCCGTTCCACCAAAGAACAACCCACAGCTTACGCTGCCAGTTATTTAAGCGCTGAGAAGAAAACACAGAACATGCGCACACCTATCATCAGATACTGCACTGTCTGATACGATGGGCCCATCGGAAGTTAATCGAAGTCCGCTCTAGCCTATCTAAATGACGCGACGGCTGTCGCTCTATAGTGGCAGCTGCGCAGAACGGCATGGCACGTGGTACTATTCACACAAATGCATCACAAGATTGCTCCAAGCTGAAGCATGATCAATGCGATGACACCATTTCTATAAAAAAGGGACCTTGTGTGGTTGTGGACCCCTCAGAGGAAACGTGGCTTATGCCAGAAACTCTTTGCGCAGTATGTCGGCCCCTTGGTTATCGTAAATTGCCTGAGTAACATGACCTACGTGGTGGCCTGCTTGACGTCAGCTGCTCATCGGTCAAGCCCAACACAATTGGTGCATGTAGCTCGTCTCATCCACTTCCATCCAGCGCTCCGCCAGTGATTTGACTCGCCCAGCGGGCTTCATCTACGAACGGGTTAATGATACGGTATGAGCGAAGCCATGGTTTCTGAAGAAGGTAGAGGAAGAAAACTTGCTTGGTTCGGCCTATGTTCGCCATCATCGTCAATCATCACCTGACCTCACCCGTAAATAAACATAGTTAAACTCAATTAGGCGTAACAAGATCATAGCGCGTAGAAGGGTAAACGAACCGGTAGCTGATTCCTGGTGATATAGTGCGCTCTACTGCTCATGACCGCGCCCTTTATAATCATGTTAACAGTTGCAGATTGATCGAGCCACCCAGCCTTCTAGCTGGTTCTTTCTTCATACTCCTTCGTCCAGCAAAAGACTGTCAAGGCTTCTTATCCAGTCGAGGAACAATCAACAGAAGGCATCGCACTAGGACAGGCTACCCTTCTTCATGCAACGGAAGGCATACGCCTTCCGTTTTATGAAGAAGGGCAGCCTGTTTTATCCATGTGGCAGCAGTGTTCCTTGAGCGCGCTCGCGAAATTTGATCACCGGAAAGAGCATACAGTGTGCGTACGAAAATAATTTGTTTAGACTTTATACAGAACATGTCAGCGGCGATGAAAACCTGATACACTTTTCATGAAATTCTGCTCGCAATAAAAATTATACGAAGCCGTCGAAGCTGGCTGGCCTTGTTTACGGTGAGCTTCGTCGTCTTCGCTGTAAAGAATTCGTATGTTCGAAGCATAACATTTTCGTGGGCCTCTTTGATTGGTTTTGTTCTTCACTGCACTCAGCCCCGCCGTGGTGGTCTAGTGGCTAAGGTACTCGGCTACTGACTCGCAGGTCGCGGGGTCAAATCCCGGCTGCGGCGGCTGCATTTCCGATGGAGCTCGAAATGCTGTAGGCCCGTTTGCTCAGATTTGGGTGAACGTTGAAGAACCCCAGCTGGTCTAAATTTCCAGAGCACTTAATTATGTCGTCTCTTATAATCAAGTGCTGGTTTTTGGACGTTAAAACCCACAAATCCATCAATTCACTGCACTCAACAACACTCTTTTCATTTTATTCCATTCAGGCTATAACTCTCCGACTGTTATGTCGGAGAGTTTTATATAAAGCACGCGTGCAATATGTGAGCGCTTAGTGTTGAACCTACCAGTATTCTGAACTTGTGTGTGGATTTCGAGCTTCTACTGCAAGCACTTTTGGCATATATTTGCGTATCTATATATGTATATCTAGCCACTTACAACAAGATGCTCTCGTGATTACCATATTATTTTGACGTCAACTAAAAGTAGTATGGGAAGGTAAGATGGTTTTCAAATATCACGCTCCAGTAAACACTTCATTGATGTCAGAATCGCGTCACGTACGTCGTCAAACACTTTCCCTGAACCAGTAGCACATTCCCTGTGGGCGGGTATTTGCCACTGGTTCTGGTTTGTGCCATGTGGTGATTGAAATTTAGTATCTGACCAGGATCGGCGAGAAGAGACATGCCTACTTTTAACGCATTTGCATCAAAAAAAGCGCACTTTGGCAGAGTTGACCCCTCCCGCCACACTACGCATACAATAAATATGATGAACTCAGCAAAAATTGAACACCAGCATTCGGCGTGGCAATTAAGTATTATACCATAGAACTGTAGATAGACCATAATATAGATAGATCGTAGACAGTAGATAGACTGTATATAGACCGTAAACCCCGCATATTATTATTTGTGAAAAATGGAATGCGCTTACAATCCTAAGGAGCTATTTAATTTAAAAAATGCAACACTTGTACTCCTATCATACAGCCATCATGGGCTATCGTAATATGTAGTTAGGTGACATTCGCTGAAGTTGATTCATCTAGCATTGTACTGGGGGGCCATCTTTGCAAGGCGAGCGCTTCATATCAGCTTATCACTTTTGTTCTTGCTACACTCGTGTTCCTGTTGGTATTGTTGCGCGATTGCAAACTCGTTATGTAAGCATGTGCATCTGTTGAAGCCATGTCCATGCGTAAAAAATTTGAAGATACATATACCCTGATTTCATGACGTGTGGCTCAGTAAAAAAATTACAACACGGCGACGTTCCTTCTCCGTGCTTCGCCTAACGTCGATTCTCAGGGTACGTGGAATCTGCCGAATTTTTTCCAATGGCGCAATCAATAACTCACAAAAGGCAGTAAAATCACGATTTCATCGCGCATGGTAACCACGCGTGACATGAGGAAGAACGAAGTTACGGGGGATGGGGGGGGTGGTGCATTCATGGTTCAACAAGGTGGAAAACTCTTTACAACTGATATTTCTCGTATATGAACCTTTCAAATCTATGTGTCCTTAACATTTCATGTGAAACCACAGTTATAGCCCCATGAAGAGCGTCAGAGGAACGAAAAACGCCAAGAAATATTGGCACGCCTGAATGTGTATCTTCAGAATCTGTTTTAGGGCTAATATATAGAGCGAGCATGTAAACACGGAAACATTAGAGCAGTCAAGACACCGCAAAAGCGACACTGAAGGATCTCAAAGCTGCAAAAAAGAAAGTGAAGTGATGTATTTTATGGCGAGATTTCTCGTTCGGGTTATAGAATAAGACAAACGGTTGCGCGCCGCAATTATGGCGCGGCAGCGGTGGTGCCAAGGTCTCCCTCAGAACCTCGCCGGCGGCGCAAACGTCGAGACTAATAACGGGCGGCGGTAGCGTGGCGACACACAGATCTAGACTGTAGTAGATCCTTTTGTCAAGATCGTGCCGAATTGGCTAACATAACAGATTATTCTTTAACCTACGTGGCCGCTAGCAATAACGCTATATTATTCGATGACACGTGTATAAAAGCCGACGCGCTTCCGTACTTGTCATTTCATCGACGGCAGACGTTCTGCTCACCGCCGTCAGTACCAGTGTATTGCTATAATCTAACTGTTCTTTTAAGTGGACACAGGTTCGGCCCAAATAAGCACTTATATATATATATATATATATATATATATATATATATATATATATATATATATATATATATATATATATATATATATATAAATATGTGTGTGTGTGTGTGTGTGTGTGACGTATCAAGTGATGATTAGTAGAGGTCGAGAAGGAAGAAGTGCAGAAAGGAATAAACATGGCGTATGAGCCAGGCCACGTCGCCCAGTCATTGTAGCGTCACATATATATATATAAATATATATATATATATATATATATATATATATATATATATATATATATATATATATATATATATATATATATATATATATTACTGTGCATGCACATACACACGCACGCTACACATGTGCGACGCTCACGGGCACATTTGTGGGCGTGTATATACACACAATCGAAAATAAAAAAATTTTCGTGTGTGGGGGAAAAGATTGCAGCCGTTTAAATTGAGAACGGGTAGCACAAGGACTTGTACAAAAAATAGGCATTTACAAAAAGTACTGTCACATAGGCAACGCGACATATTCCTTAATGTGCTTGCTTGGTAAACGAAACCATACTCCGCGCCCGAATAATAATAAGAATGCACACTTGCTAAATCAAGGTGTACTCATTCAGGCTAATTAAGTCGTTGCGAAGAAATTGAATAAAACAAACATCCGTAGTTTCCGTCACTTTTTGCCATGCGAAAGTTTTTATTTGCTCCGTTCTGCATCGCGAGTGGTCTGCATGCTTCGGGCAGAGAGAGAACGATATGTTGCCATTTTTACATCGCGATGCCACGCATTGCGGCACCACCGGCACACTTCAATGGCCTTTCGACATCGCTTTCGTCTACTTAGAGCTCGCGCATGCGGCATGCCAAAAATGAACGAACTATGCCACCGCTTCTTAACGCGCTCAACTTAGTAACATATCTCTTTGCAAGGTTGACCTTCTTAGCGCTGTTTCGTGGTGCGGACGCTAGGTGGTGACCGCTTAGCTGGAATTTCATCAGTGAAAAGATTAGAAGGAAAGAGCCGAATGAATGGCAGAAGTAGTAAACAAAAAAGACAGAAAGGCAGCTGCAAAGTTTTGGAACCATCTCAATTCTCTGAGTAATAGGACAAGCATGGAAGAGAGGTTTACAATTACAGGCTGCAGCTGGTAAGACTAGAAGGGGTTGAGGTGATGGAATATATGAAAACGATGATGACAGAAAATTTTAAACGCGAAGAAAGCGCTGCATGCACCATACCATACCAGAATGAACCAATTAGCACAGTCACTTCACTGGAACAGCAAGATTAGAAAAGGGCCGTAGAAAGGGCTCGTAATAGCACACCAACAGGCTCTCACGGCATTCCAATCATGCTAATAAATAAATTAGGACGGTGCTTAAGCAAGCATTAGGAGAGGCAGTGAATAAAAAGCAGTATCTCTTCTATCATCCAGCAGTATCTCTTCTGTTGGCAGGAAGGCACGATGGAGGAAACAACGAAAGGCTTACGCATCTGTCTTTTCGCTCTGCAGTTCACCGTGGTCACGGCTGTTGCGTCGGTGCTTGGCCTTCCGGACGACTTTCCACCCATGGGAGGAATATGCGAGGCCGCGCCTGTTGGAAACGGCTTGCGTGAACCTGTCCGAGCGCATTGAACGCCCCCTGGAATATCACCGATGCGCAGCCCCCACGACAACGTCATCAAGTTCGGAAACAATATTACCGAGCATCCAGCAGTATCTCTTCTGTGGGCACAGAGGCACGATGGAGAAAACAACTAAAGGCTTACGCATCTGTCTTTTCGCTCTGCAGGTTGGTTGCTTTTCCAAATTACGCTCTAGCAGCTTCCGATCAGATGATCCTTTCCTTGTCGTGCTTTCGTGCCCCGAAGCAGTTCGCGAGAGTGCATTGCATCTTCGGTGCCTCCTGCTCCTGGGAGGTGACATCGAAACAAATCCTGGACCTATGACTAAAACTAAGGAAGAGAAGCTTAATTCAGTTTTTTGATAGTGTGCAACGCATTGAAGCTAACAATGTGAGCTTTCTCGAATCCGTGAACCAGGTTTTTCTCCTACATGCCACCTTAAAAAAAGATTTCGAATCTCTGACTTAAAGAGTAGACGAGCTCTAGAACGAACTTCAGTCACTGTCGACACAGCACTCTTCCGCGAATGCAGAAAACATTTCCAAGATGCAAGTAATAATCGATGAATTACAGTCAAAGGTGACAGGGAGCATTCCGGGCTTGGACCCTCGCATGAAAAAGAGCTTTCGAGAATTCAAGACAAAATAGATGACTTGAAAAACCGCTCCCACCGGTCTAACTTACTTTTTTACGGAGTCGCCGATACTGACGGTTCTGAGTCGTGGGAGGCCTCTGAGCGAATCGTAAAAGAGCTCTGTTCAAGCCAGTTTAGCATATCTGTTTCGTATATTTCTAGAGCCTGAAAACCACCTGGGCAGGTTTTCAGGGGATAAGAAGCGTCCAATCATAGCAAAATTTTTTAACGAGAAAGAAGTTGAATCCATTTTGAGCAAGGGCTTCAAACTGAAAAACGCAAAACTAAGCGTAGCACGAGACTATTCTGAGGCTGTGCGCGACAAAAGACGCAAACTGCTGCAGTATGCAAAGAGCTTAAAGAAGGATGGTGACCGTATTCGTCTCATTTTCAATAAGTTGTTCGTTAACGATGACGTTTACATGTGGGACACAGAGTCGAACAGTGCTAAACAACTTTCACGTCGCAACAACACTTGACGCATTCCATATGTCCATCCCCCTGTCTTCTCGTATCACCAACCAGCACCTTTATATCAGCCATCTGAAGCAAACGAATCATCAACTAGTTTCTTGATCACGTAAAAGGCTTTCATTTTTCGTACAACCAAGCCAGAAGTACCCTCAGTAAACGGAACAAAAAAAGTTCATCCCAAACCTCAGCAGTTAAGGCTTCGACAAATAAGGCATCACGCGAAATAACTTTCGCAAATGTGAATGCGCGCAGCATCATGAACAAATTAGATGCTTTAGAATCGTTGCATATTGGCCTCAAACCCTACTTCTTGGCCGTTACTGAAACGTGGCTAACAAGTGATATCGAAGATCCTGAGCTAACACTCCCAAACTACGCGGTCATACGCAAAGATAAACCAGCACGAGGCGGCGGCGTAGCTGTCTTTATAGGTAAAAGAATCCCCTTCACATTACTTTCAGACGTAGAAGGCGTAGAGGCTGTTTTTTGCAAACTTAAATTCATAACCCCCGTTATCGTTCTCGGGTGTGCATACCGTGCCCCTTCATGAAACCTTGAGTGCATGGATGCCCTGTGCACGTATATGCGGCGTCACGCATCTAATGCCGGAGTTATTCTAGTGGGGGACTTTAATCTGCCTGACTTCAACTAGGAATCAATGCAGTACCACAGCGCCTGCTCTGAAATAATTTACGATTCAATTTTTTCTTTAAACCTTTCACAAATAGTGACGCAGCCTACGCGTGTACAGAGACACATCTCGAGTATGCTGGACTTAATCTTCTCACTGATAACTTTCCGGTACATGAAGCAACGATAGAACTTCTAGACTGCATTTCAGACCATAAAATAGCTTATTGTAGGATACCTATAAAGGACAGTAAAACGTCTGCATACTCAGAGGAAACATTTCCAGACTTTTGTAATGCTGATGACGTAGCAATACATAACTTACTGTTCGACGAATTTCCATCATTTCAAGATTAAGCCTCTGACTGCACTGCGACTATAGAAATGTGGCATAAATTCAAAGAAATGGTTCTTTTTTGCTTACAAAACCACGTTCCTTGGAAGAAAAAGAAGACCAGAAAGATAAAGCCATTGGTCACACGGTCGTTATACATGCTAAAAGAAAGGTGAAGCGTTTGAGGAAAAATCTGAAAGAGAAACCAAATATTTACAGCCGACCAATTTTGAGCGCAGGTATAACTGACATGAAAAATAAAATAAAGGCGGCCAAGTCTACTTATCTTGAAAAAAACTCTACCTCGGTTCATAAAAAGTTCTCCGACAAAATTTTGCCAATACATGAATCCCAAGGTCCGTAAAATGACCCAGGAAACGCCTGAAGAAAACGCCTATTCCGCAAACGTATTAAATAGCTATTTCCAATCAATTTTTACAGTTGACGACGGAAAACAGCCTCACATAGAAATTAGAGACGAGAAATCTATTAAGCGATTATTCGTTTCAGAACAGGGAGTTTTCAACGTACTATTGAAGTTGGATAGCAAAAAAAGTTCCGGACCAGACAGCATACCTAACGCGTTTTTAAAAAGATAGGCCGAATGGATAACAAAATACCTGTGCCGGATTTTTAACCAACCATTGTCGTCGTGTGTCCTACCAAAGGATTGGAAAATAGCAAACGTGATTACTATACATAAGTCCGTAAATAAAAATGAACCTTGCAATTATCGGCCCATCTCATTAACACGTACGGTTGGTAAACTGCTCGAACACAAAATCTTAAAGCACATAACGAATCACCTAGAAGAACAAAAGATACTGTCCTCTTTTCAACACGGCTTCCGCCAGGGCATGTCTACTCTAACACAACTAATTGAAATGGTCCTTGACGCCTCATTAAGCATCGATCGCCAAAAACAAATTGATCTTATTCTGCTAGATTTCTTGAAAGCACTTTATCGGGTGTCGCACAGCAAACTCATCTTGAAACTCCAATTTCTAGGCAAGGGCCAAATTGTTGACTGGATTACTAACTTCCTAACAGACAGGTCGCAGTTCGTAGAATTAAACCATGTCCAATCTTCAATCGTACCGGTGACCTCTGGAGTACCGCAAGGCCGTGTTTTGGCGCCGGTATTATTCTTAATTTTCGTGAAAGATCTTCCTTCATCTGTCAATGTTGGATGCACATTATTTGCAGATGACTGCATCCTGTACAAAGAAATCCACTCACACGATAACCATATCGCCTTAAACACAGCACTAGACGCAGTTTCAGCCTGGTGCAGTGATTGGAAAATGAAGATCAACGAAAAAAAGTCCATGCTCTTATCTATAACTAGGAGAAAGAATCCATCCAATTTCAATTACGTCATCGATTCAGCTACCCTTTCTAAAGTCACGGAACCTAAGTATCTAGGGGTCATTCTGTCACATGGCCTACGGTGGGACGCTCATATGCATTACATCACATCATCTGCGCTGAAAAGACTGTTATTTATAAAAAGGCAATTACAATAAGAACCACCACACACAAAATTACTGGCCTACAACACACTTATACGGCCCATCCTGGAGTACGCAAACACTGCCAGGTTCCCGTACACAAAAAAACTAACCAGCAAGCTCGAAGGTGTTCAAGGAAAAGCGCTTAGGGTCATCTTTAACAAATTTAACCGAACAGATTCACCTACGGAGCTGCTCAAAGAGGCTGGATTACTAACCATAAAAAAAACAGGCGATATTGGCACGCTTCAAGCTGATGTACCAACTGTTACATGGTCAACTAAACATAGACAAGTCCCGCTACATAAAGCTATCCGCAGCTAGAACTACCCGCCACATATACTCTCATACCCTCTCCCCTTAGAGATTTCACACAGATTCCTTCAAATTCTCGTTCTTCCCGCTTGCGATCAGAGAACGGAACAACCTGTCCCCCTCCATTACCAGTAGCACGTCCTTAGTCCACCTTCACAAGACTAGTAGAAAGCGACTTGAAAGCCTCGCAGACATAATGTGGTGCTATGTGATCTCTCTTGTTATTTAAGTAAAGTGCCAATATGATTGTACCTTGACAAATGTGTTTACATATTTTCTTTTTGTTGTTGTTTTGTTGATTTTTTTCTTATTATTTTTTCTTTCTAATGACTGTACTTAATCACTGCCTTAGATCGCCCACCTGTTATAATCCCTCTGGGATTGGCAGTATGTATAAAAAATAAATAAATAATAGATTTTGAAGCCCCCAGTGGGTTGAAACTGCACGGATGAGCATCATCTCTAAAAAAAGAGGAACCAAGGCGATATAATATAGAATTTTTTAATTCACTCTACAACGTCATTATCTTCATGTTGTTACACTGCGTTTACAAGAATTGCTTTTGTTTTCGCGCCCCGCCGCGGTGGTCTAGTGGCTAAGGTACTCAGCTGCTGACTTGCTCGTCGCGGGTTCGAATCCTGGCTGCGGCGGCTGCATTTCCGATTGAGGCGGAAATGTTGTAGGCCCGTGTGCTCATATTTTGTTGCACGTTGAAGAACCCCAGATGGTCGAAACTTCCGGAACCCTCCACTACAGCGTCTCTCGTAATCATATGATGGTTTTGGGTCGTTTAACCCAACATATAATTCAATCAATTACTCTTGTTTTCGCATGTTTCAGTGTACACCTTTTCTAGTGTTTCCGCCCTTTTCGATTGCTCGTTACGTACACAAAACTCTATGTCAACACTGCTTTATGAACGGGCCCCAGGCTTTTTGAAGCTGCATATTTTGCCGCGTTTCGCCTGGGGTGACCCCAATAACTATTGGAAACAAGCTTTCTTGATTCTTGACAAACTACCACCCTATAACAGTGACATAAGTAGTTTACAGGCTGCTGATAGAAAATGAAAGACTACACACATGGGTGGAGAATGAGGGGCTCCTGGGATAACTACGAAATGGGTTCCGTAAGCGGAGGTCGGAGAACAATCTGTTCTCATTAATGTAGTGTATGGAGGATGTGGAAAAAAAAACACATGACCTTGTGGCTGGCATTGCTATCTATCAATCAAGCTTACGATTTCGTGATTCAAAAAGGCTTGTGGA